GAAACATCAGCCTTCCTGCTCCTATGATGCTGCTTGGCCTGCTGTGTTCATCCAGCTCTACACCTTGTTATCTCATTTTATCCATCTAGTTGAGGGGCCACTTCTAGAGCGCACCTCATCTGAGGTACAGCAGCACCACAGTTTTATCAGGACTGCACTGACAGTGTAACAACAGCATCACTGTTAAACACATCACTCTTGAGCTGTTTTAAAGTGCCAAGAAAGCATTTCATAAATTGTTCCCTATTTGTTTGCAAATGCACAGCAAACAACCTGAACGGCAAATCATGATTCCTGCAATACAGCAGTGACCACATATCTTAAGGCTCTCATTATTTGCTAAGCACTTTTGGATGCCTTAAAATTGATGGATGCTATATAAATGCACGTTCGTCCTTTCTATGATCACTTTACGTGTTCAAGCAGCATCATGGAACAGTTGCTCAAAAATCTTTGTTTTTCTCTCAAAATTGAGGTTTGCCAAACACAACATGAACATAATGGTTCCCCCTTAAGGATGGCTGTCAAAGAGGACATTTATTATTTGGCAATTCTGTAGCTCTTTTTTTGTTATCTTGACTGTTTTTGTACAGGGCTTCTTATGGTGCAGTGGTAGTGTCCCTACTTCTGAGCTAGGAGACCTATGTTCAAGTCCCATCTGCTCCAGAGGTGTGTAATTACATCACTGAACAGGTTGATTTACAAACTATAATTGCTATTGTGTACGCAATCACTTCCCAAAGCAGTCAAGAAACAGAGACTCTGGAGCTGTCTGTTACCACAAACATTGCAGAACAAATTTTCCATTGGGCGGTATAGCTTTTGCTCGTGTGACAATGGTAAATTGGGACCTGTTCTTCCTCGTCTCTGCTAAAAGTACATTCCATGCATATTTCTGTTAGGGCTATAATCCCATGTCAGTCATACTCACTTCTTTGTGTTTTATTATGTACTGTATGCAGAAATCTAATGAAAGGCTTTAACAGTCTTGTCTCACTATTCTACATGTAAATATATTACATTTAGAAGAAAAGTTCCAGTTTAATGGGATGGAAGGAAAATATGTAATTTTTGCAATTTATCATTTTAGAGGCTTTATTTGCAATCTAATGCGTTTTATACTTTTCAACTGATGAAGTGTTCCTGTGTTTTCTAGATGTGGTTATGGAATAAATGTTTAAATAATGAAAGCCAGCTGATTCTCGTGTCAAATATCAAAGGGAAACTGATTGCCCAGAAGCTTGTTGATAAAAATTCTGCCCAATGGGGAAATCATGGAAGGAGGTGGGATCAGTAAAATGCTTTGCATAGAATAAACATGCAAACCACTTAATGAAGCACAATTGCATCGAGTCAAAAGCTGGTCAAGCACATCCCTGTCTTCAGACTGAAAAGCTTAATTTCTGTCATAGACAAAATGTTAGAAGCTATTATTAAAGACATTACTGCAGGACAATGTTCAAAGTAATCAACGTAGCTTTGTGCAAGGAAAATCATGTTTAACCTACTCATTGAAGTTCTTTGAGGAGGTAGCTGTGCTGTAGGTATACCTACGAATGTACTGTACTAGGATTTCCAGAATGCATTTGACAAGGTGTTCAATCAAAGGTTGCAGTGGAAACTGAAAATTAATAGTTTATGGAGTAACATATTGGCATGGATAGAAGATAGACTAGCTAACAGTAATCAGGGAGCTGGTAAAAATGGGTCATTTTCTGGTTGGCAAGACAAAATGAGTGGTATACCAAGGGAATCAGTGCTGGGACTTCAACCTTTACAAGATATAATATATATATGTAAGTGGCTTGGATGAAAGGACCAAAGGATGATTGATACATTTGTTGATGTCACGAAGATAGGTAGGAGAGTAATTTGTGAAGAGTACAGAAGGAAACTTCATTGGGATATATTGCAACAGGTTAAGTAAATGGGCAAAGATCAGGCAAATTGAGTATAATGTGGGAAAATGTGAAATTGTCCTAATATATATGATCATATTCGTTCCACCTGTGATGATGCTGTCACTTTAGAAGGTTATTTTGTCCTGGCTTTTCTGAAGAGAGGTTGTAAGGCAAAGGTACTTAACTGGCTACTCTGGACGACTTAAGTAAACAATTTGTGAGGCCTTAGTTTTTTTGAAAGTTGGAACAATATAGGCAGCCTGAATGGGTGTGGCCAGCTCTGACAGGCCCAGATTTCCGGGTTTTGGGTTTTCTCAGCAGCATCAGAAGCCATTGGGGTCTCAAATGAGTTGGAAGCTTCAGTGAACGATTCCTAGCTGCTACTGTCTCTGAACTTTCTGTTGATTTTTTTTTCTCCTGTATTGGAGAACTGCATGTAAGAATCTATGTCTGAATTTGCCTTTTTGCCAAGGATTGTGTTTATGGGATGTTGCTGTATTGGAAT